CTCCCTGGTGCCACAAGGGGTTAAGACAGTACCATGAAGCTATCCGCAGCCACTGAAGCATGAGTTTGATCCCCAGCCAGGGAGGTGACCCACATGGTGCAGCAGACCTCTCCTGTCTCATCTGTGCTCCCCTCAGCAGTGTATTTTGGTAGATCTACCTATTCTGCTTCCCACACTGTCTCTGGTGGATCCTCTCAATCCCCCGTATCTCTGGCCTGTACCCTAGCTCTTGTATGCATAAATAAATCTTTAAAAAAACAAAGGAGCTGATAAAATTAAACCAAAACAAAGCCTAGAAATATGACTGTAGAATTGCAACTACTAGAGGGGGAAAATGGAGATGGGAACAGAGTAAGGAAGTGGCCTGATGTTATATGCTAAAGGCATATGGGTTCTCTGGTGATGGTTGTGGCTTGGAGATGTACCTCTGAGGAGGTGTGAACACATTCCCTCTGAATCACATAAAATGATGTAAACCAATGTTAGCTCAATAAATAAACTTGTACCTGGAAACAAATGAAAATGAAGACATGACCTGCAAGAACCTTTGGGATGCAGCAAAATCAGAGGGAAGTATTAACAATACAGGACTACATTGAGAAACATGAAAGATCTCAAATGAATGCTCCAATCTTGCCCCTTAAGGAAGAAGAGAAAGGAGGAAAAAACGAAACCAAAAGACCATAGACTTGACATCAACACCTGACCAGAAAACAAATAATGGGGAAAGGAAAAAAAAAAAAAAACACAAAAATGCAAGCCTCAGTCTCCAGGGGAATGCTGCAACAAAGAGAGAGAGAACAAATATCCAGAACCCAATCACAAAAACATAGGTTTGTTCTTCCTATCAGATACAGAATTCAGAAATGCAGAAAAATGAATGTACGGAGATGATCAAAACTGCAATTCTAAGTAAGAAAAATATGGAGATTGTGGATATAAAAAGAACAATAGAGGAGATGAAAAATTCAGGAGAAAGTTATGGAAGTAGAAATTTAAGGACAAAATGACAGCAAAAGATTCTTACATATAAATAATTACTCTAAATGTAAATGGTTGAACTCAATAAATAAAAGCCACAGAATAACTAGTTGGATTAAGAAAGAGAACCAGGCTTTCTGCTGTTTCTGGAAAACACACTTGAGCTCCAGTGATAAGTAATAGACTCAGATTAAAGGGTTGGGGAAAAAAATCCTACAAATAAATGAGACTCAGAGGAAAGCAGGAACAGCCATACTTACATCAGACAAAATAGATTTCCAGTTAAGAAAAGTAAGAAGAGAAAGGTATGGACAGTATATAAAGGCTAAGGGAAATATACATCAGGAACACATAATACTCATCACTATATACTTACCAAATGAAGGAACACCAAAAAATGTTAAGTAATTACTATCAACTCTTAATAATAGACATTGGAAAAAAAACAAATTTGTCGTAGGGAATTTTAACACCCACTCTCACGTCTGGACAGATCAAGTAGACAGAAAACAAATAGGGACACAATAGCATTAAACAAGGTATTAGGCCATGTGGTATATATACACAATGGAATACTACTCAGCAATCAACAAAGACAAACTCATGTCACTGGTGGCAACATGGAGGATTATGCTAAGTGAAATAAGTCAGAAGGAAAAAGGTAAATATCAAATGATTTCACTTATATGTGGTATATAGGGAAACCAAACAAAAGGTCAAGAGAAGGTTAAAACTAGCAAGTTGACCATAGATCTGGGTCAGACAGCAGGGACAGGGCAGGGAGAGGGGCCAGAACAGGAGGGATGAACACATGGGACTATGGTGATGGTTCACTGGTGATATGGTGGTGGGAGAACTACAGAGACTACAGCCAAGGGGAGTTACCAATTACTGTACAAAAAAAAAAAAAAAAGAACAACAATGTAAGAAAATAAATTTAGAGGGAAAGAAAAAGAATTAGGCCACATGGATTGTGTGTGTGTGTGTGTGTGTGTGTGTGTGTGTATACATGAGTGTGTGTGGGGGGGAGTAATGCACCCCAGAAAACCATATATACATTTTACTCAAGTGCATATTGGACATTCTCAAGACTGACCATACATTGGGTCACAAGTGTCAACAAATTCAAGATTGAAATCATGCCAAGCATCTTCTTTGACCATAAAGTTATCAAACTAGAAATCATCCTCAAAAATAAAACAGGGAAAATCTCCAATACATGGAGACTGAACAACACTACTGAAAAACTACTGGGTTGATGACGAAATCAAAGAAACAAAAAAAATACATAAAACAAATGACAATAAAGACACAACCTTTCAGAACTTATGGAATGCAACAAAAGTAGTATTATGAAGAAAGTCAATAGTACTGCAGGACCATATCAAGTAAGTAATGTTCTCTCTCATTTCCAGGAATTGGAAACACAAGAACGAACATATACAAAAGTCAACATAAGAAAGGAAATAATAAAAATTTGAGCATAAATCAATGATATAGAAATTTAAAAGACAGTGCATAAGATTAATGAAGCCAAAATCTGGTTCTTTGAGAAAATAAACAAAATAGACAAATGTTTACTTAAGTACACTAATAAAAGGGAGAAAACCCAAATAAATAGGATAGGAAATAAAATAGAAGTTACAACAGATACTTTAGAAATTCTCAGGATAATAGATTACTATGAACATTGTGTACTAATAAGTTCAGTAACTTAGAAGAGGACACATTCTTAGAATTACACAATCATCCAAGACTGATAGAGAATAAATAGAAAACCTGAATAGACCAAAAATAACCAAGGAAATTGAAACAATCAAACACTCCCAGTAAAGTCCTGGACGAGATGTTTTCTCAAGAAAATTCTACCAAACCTTCAAAGGTGAGCAATTACCTATCCTCCTTGAATTCTTTCAAAAATTGAAAAGAAGGAATACTTGCAAACACATTCTATGAGGCCAATATTACTCTAATACCAAAACCAAAGGCAATATAAAAAGGAAAACTATATACCAATCTCCCTAGTAAACACAGATGCAAAAATCCTCAGTAAAATTTTATCTAACCAAATCCAAGAATGAATTAAAAGAATTATACACAATAACCAAGTGGTATTTACACCAGGAACACAAGGATGGTTCAACAACGGAAAGTCAAAGTGTTTCACATTATCAAATCAATAGATGCTGAAAAGCCATTTGATAAAATACACATGCATTTATGATGTCAGTCTTTGAAAAATGGCATAAAAGGAACATATTACAGCATAATAAATGCCATATGTGAGAAACCACAGTTAACATCATTCTCAGTGATTGAAAATTGAAAGCATTCCTACTAAGATTGGTACAAGACAGGGATGTCCACTCTCACCACTACTATTCAACACAGTACTAGAAGTCCTAGCTAGAGCAATTAGGCAAGAGAAGGATATAAAAGGATTTCTAATGGGAATAAAACATGTAAAGAAATCTATCATTATTAACAGATGACATGATAAATTCATATTCAATTACATCAAAATTTCAACAACATTCTTTAAAGAAATAAAACAAACATTAGCAAAATTCATATGAAACCACAAAAGAGCCTGAAGAGCCAAAACAATCCTTACAAAAATGAGCAAGAATGACAGTCTCACTTCTAGACTTCAAACTGTACTATGAAGTGATAATAATTAGTGCAGCATGGTACTGAAACAAAGACACAAACTAATGGAATAGAAATAAGTGCAGGCACAGATATCAAAGGAACGGAACTGACAGCTCAGAGATAAACCCACACACATGTGGATGATAATTTGCAAGAAATAAAACCACAATGGAACAAGAAAAGATTCTTCAACAAATGGTATTGGGACAGCTACATGGAAAAGAATGAAATCAGACCACCATAGACAGAAATTAATTCCAAATGTATTAAAGACTTCAATACAAAGTCTGAGACCATAAACATATAGAATAAAACATAGGCCGTATGCTTCTCAACATCAGCCTTAGAAATATCTTTGAAGACTTGCCTTCAATGGCAAGGGAAACAAAAGCAAAGATAAACAAATGGGACTACATCAAAATGAAAGCTTTTGCACAGCAAAGTAAATCATTATCGAGGCCAAAAGACCTCCTACTGAATGGGAGATTATCGGAAAGCATATATCCACCAAGGCATTAATATCCAATAATATATAAAGAATTCATACAACTCAACAACAACAAAAAGCAAACAAATTTAGTAACATTGCAGTAACAAAGGCTTAAGGAAGAAATGAAAGGGCAAATAAGTCATCATGGGGGGAAAATTATAGCTGCCATGCCCATGTTGGAAAAGGAGAAATGATTAAAACCAGTAAGCTAAGTTTCCACCACAAGAAAGTGGGAATTAAGAGCAGGCTAGTAGACTGAAAACTCAAGAGTAGAAGTCACTGAAATTGAAAATAAACATTATAAAAACTCGACTTAAGAGATGGGTTTTTTTAAAGAAAATGCTGTGATGCTTTCAAATATGCCCACGGGTTGACAATCTGTTGAGAAGGTGATGTCTCATTCCCTGCTCTGAGTGCGAGCTAGCCTTAGTGCATGACTGCAATGGGTGGAAAGAAGCAGACGTCCTAGGGAGTCACTTCCAACAGCAGGTCATAAAGGCCATGGAGGCTTCTGTCTTTGTCAGCCTCTCACTGGGATAACTTGCTCTGGGCAAAACCATATGCCATGTTGAGAGGGCTCTCAAGTGGCCCACGGTGAGGCCACACGCAAGGAACTGAAACCTCTGGCTAACCGTGTGGGGAAACCACCATTGGTGTGGATCATCCAGCTCCAGTGAAGCCTTCAGATGCCTGCGGCTTGGGCCAACATCCAGAACGCCCTCATGAGGGACCCTGAGCCAGAAGCACCCAGCGACTAACCTCCCAAATTCCTGTCCCACAGAAACAGTGAGATATTAACGTTTGTTTTGAGCCACTACCTCTTGGTGGGCTGCATTACAAAGCAACAGATAACAGATGCAAATACTGAAACACTTACTGCCGGTGCGAAAACATCATTTGACTGTGAACTTGGAGGTAGCGTCAATACACAAGGACCAACTGGCCTTCCATTTTCAATAATCTGAAATAGACGGGGAGAAATGAATTCCGTGAATTTTGACGTCCCAGAGAAGGGAGACAGTGTCGTTATCAATTCCAAATTTCCCACAGTGTCTAGGGAATGATCTTATGCTTTAGAGCTGCGAGTAATTGTGCCTTGATGGGAAGAGAATCACGACAAGCCAAAATTGTAAGGGGGTCTTCAGTTCATGGGCTTCAAGCTTTCCTTTTTAACCTGCACTAAAAGTGATTTCCAGAAACGTGAGGTGACTCTCCCGGGTCCGGCATCTGGTTGGAAGTATGTCAGGAGCAGGATTTCAGTGTCCTGACTCCTAGTTCTCAAGGCCTAACCTGGCAATACGTGTTTCTACATCAGAGCGTTGTGGGGATGTTGGGAAGGTTTAGGAGGAAAGAGTGAAGAGGACACTTGGGAGGGAGGACAATGTGAAGAGCCCCGTGACCCCTCACGTCTGTATTTCTGAGCATGTGTGCAAATTAACAGGCACCACCAGCTCACACAAAATCAATGTACGTTCAGGCCGCTGAAGCTCTGAAGTGTGTGCTGAGGGGACTGGCTCTCCACAGGCCCTGCTTGCTGTGTACCTCACTTCATCACCAGAGACCGGAGCAGGGATGGGACAGGGGCCCAAGGCTCCCCCGGGGAGACGGGTGCAGACTCTGAGGGACTCACATACAACTCTGCCACACCATGAGCCCTTTTTCTTTGACAAGGGGATTTTCACTCAGCGAAAATACTCCTTTATTCGCAGAAACATGAATACAGATTTCACTGGGCTCCTCAGCGTGAGCCTGTGTCCCAAGCGATACTGAGCCCTGTTCCTGGTTCTCTTGGTGCCTGACAAACAGCCTAGATGTGGAGACACCAAGGCAGAATGATAGGCCTGTGAAGACAGCAGCGAAGCTAGAGCCACTGGGAATGAAGTTTCACGAAGACTGTGGCACTGGAAGAGAGTGGGGTGTGTTGGAGGCAGGGGATCTCTCTTCATTGACCTCAAAACAGTCTCCAGTGTGTAGTTTGAGCTCCGGCCTCTCCTCCCTACACACCCAGGAGACGTGTGTCCCAAAGGCAGGGATTTATGGGGACCGGATTAGCAGTCATTCGCCAACAGTTAGGGGAGCTCTTAGTGTGTCTGTGTAGGGAAGGCTGCTGCCACTTGATCCCTAAGTGGATGGTTACAGCGGAAGGAATGAGCCCAGGGGCCTGCAGTCCCATCCACAGGCAGCGGGGAAAAACAGATCTTGTGACTATGACAGCAGTTTTGCTTAGATCTGAGGCCTTTGGATCCTGGAGCCTGGTCCAGAACTGGAGGATGCATCTGTCTGACCATCTGCGGTAGCCTGCTCCCCACCTCTATTCGTCACCCAGGGATCGGGGTACAGATTATACTCACATTTTTGGTCCTATGCCTTCTGTGTTCTTCTAGCTTCCAAGCCCCCTTGTCCCCCTTAATTTTGCAGCTGCACCTCCACATCTAGACTCTATTCTCTGTCATTTCAGCTGAGGCAGTAGGGCCATCTGTCATTTTCCTCCACAGTAGCTGGGGAGCTTGGGGAGTGCTGTGCAGTAAGAAAGCCGGAAGTTTTAGCTCTTACCCCTGTGGCTATTGTTTCTGGAGTGCTAAGTCTTCTTGGCTTCTCCTGGCTTTGAGATGCTTCCCAGTACTTTTAAACTATTTTTTTCTTGTGTTCTTTTCTAGGATTCCTGATTGTCATCTGTGGGATGGTTAACGTGACTTTGTCGTTCATTTCATTCTTCCTTCACAAGCATCCTGGAACCCAAAGAGATAGGAAACTGAGGACATTCGTGCAGGTGTTTTAAAGAACAGCAACGGGGAGATTTGGCATCCGATAGGTGAAACTGTCCCCCACGATTACTCCATACACTGAGACTCCTTCAAAAGAGATACACCAGGCTGACGTAAACGCACAGAAGCAGGAACATGTAATGCCCACAGCCGAGACTCTTTTTCTTCCTATCCCACGTGGGTCCGATTAAATGCCAAGGGTCCTGGGGAGTCCACAGTGCAACTATGGAATCAGACAGGTAGGTTCTCCTCTCCGTGTGCTCAGGCAGCCCAGTCAGGAGTGGGTTCCCCGGGGCTCCAAGACTTGCAGTTCCCATGGACGCGGAAACACTGCGTGCCTGGCAGTGAGCTCGCTTGTCCCAGGCTCTGCCCCCGGGTGCTGGCTGTGTCTGGAGAGGACCTGAAGTGCAAGGTGGGCCTTGGCAAGTGTCTGTGGGACAGTGGAAACCTTGTTTCTTGGTGATACCGGCCCTGAGCAAGGACACAGTGGTTTCGTGTTCTGTTTCTTAATTCTTGGCGTAGAGACGGGGGAGTGTCCCCAGCAAGGTCAGTTTATGAGTCTCTGCTGGGTGCCTGCAGATGTTTTTCTCGCTTCATGCCTACTCCCCACTTAAACACGCTCAGCATAAAAACCCCTGGGTCCCATCATGTCGGCTCCTCCGGGGCCTGGGGATTCATTTCCTCCAGCCCCGTGAGAGTTCCAAGAGTTTGCAGGGTTCGTGAGAATCTCACACTGTCAGTGTGTATACGTCGTGGGGATCCCAGCTGATGCCAGTATTGAGGTTTGGTACAAGCCGTGAGGGAGTAGGAAGGGGAGCGCTCTGCGAAAGTCCTTGTTCCCCACGACAACAGAAAGTCGAGATTTCCCGTTGCCCATGTCTTGGCAAATTCCTTGAAAATATCTGGTTTGGACATCACTCCTCATGAAAGTTATGTTCCTTAGTTTCTTAGATAAAAGATTTCCTTTGGTCAGTTTTGTGGAAACCTCTTTTTGATGTATTTGTTGGGCAGCACGTACCCGTGCTTTCTCCTTATAGAGTCATTTAAAGTTTTAGTCTTTGTCGCCCACGTCACACAGTGCTTTCACCCAGTAACGCTATGTGGAGCCGTGTTGTGTGTGTATTAAATGCTTTTATAGTTGTCCAAGCTGCCTGGCTATTACTTTGTACTTTGCATCTGTAAAATGTGGTTGTCCCCTGTATTTGCATTTCTCATTCACTGTGCTTTGTGTTTTCAATTAGTATTACTGCATATTTGTGAAGGTGGTAGAGGCAGGAAGGGCACAGTCCAGGATCTCTATGATCGGAGTTGACGGGTATAGGAGGAGTGCTGGCGCCTTCGGTGGCTTTTCAGGCTTTTATTGCCATTTCACCAGGTACATACATGGCAGTCTGGGGTGCCGGCGGGGGGGCAGGAGGCTGGCAGGCCTCCCAGCCCCGGCGAATCTTCACTCTTCTGGGCTCTCTGGCGTTCGTTCTCTCGTCGTCTCTGCTTCTCCTTCTCTCTCGTTCTCTTCTGGTTCTCTTCCTGCGACGCTGCCCTTATTAGCCCGGCCTCTCAGCCCGGGTGTACCCACCTACGCATGTCCATCCCCTACGCTAGTTGTCTGCCATCAGGCATGCATTTGAGCTAATGGCGGGAGGGCGGGAAAACCTGATAGTTTTTATTTACCCTGCAAGGTGTTATCTGTCATACAGCAGAGTGTTCCAGAAGCAATTGTTGGGGGTGAGGCCTAGTGGCGGGAGCAGGGTCTTTTAATCAAACCACACTCAAATGTATTCAGTCTTACTTGCGTGCAAGACTTGATCTCCTAAGAGCCACATAATCCCTTGTTTTCTAAATACAGGGAGGGCAGCTCCTGTGTTTAACCATTGCTGTTAGCTGAGTCCTTGAACCACCTGAGATCACTTTTCTGGTTTTCCCATCATGCACTATCACTGACCTTGATGACAAGATGCTGCCAGTTTTCTCTAAGAGCTACTCCTTGCTTCCGGCACAGGCTCAGTCCCGGGCTGTGAGGTCAGGTGTCCTGGGGTCATGAGCTCCACTCACCCATGCAGCTTCTCTGTGACCCAGATGGCCGGTGCCCTGTTAATCCACAGCAGATGCTATTTGCCAGTTGCTGTTCCAGAGCGGAGGAACAGATAGATGTAAGACTGATTTGCGAAGTTTGTTCCAGGTGACCAGGGGGAGGATTGTTTTCTTTCTGATCCCTCACTCCTGCCCCCTGTGACGTCCTCCACCTCCACCCTGGAGGTCAGAGCACCTCGCAGGGGCCTCTTGCGGCAAATGGACCGAGCCCCGGTCTGCAGGACAGTTTCCTGCACGCCTTCCTGGAGACCAGAGCCGTGAGATTCCCCTGGAGGAGCAGACTGTCACTCATGGCTGCACACATCTAGGGGAAGCCACCACTCCCCCGAGACCTGTTGCAGAGAAAAATTTCAGAGCCTGCAGGACAGGGCTAGGCTGTCGCGGATGACAACGATGCTGTACCCAGAGGCCTGTGTAAGGCGTGTGGGTAGGAATTTCAAGGGCCTGCTAGGCCATCCCTACTAGGCCTCCTTGGAACACATCTCGCCGCTGCCCTGCACTGAAAAGACAGAAGGGAAGGGGATCCCCTGTGCCCATGCTGGCAGCGCTGACATGGCTCCCCCAGAGGAACGTGTGAACCGAGTGAATGTTCTGTTTGGGAAGGGGAAAGCATGCAGCCGCGTCAAAGAAGAGGGGGAGGTAGCTCCTATCTGAGGTCCAGTGGCCCCTCCCCATCTGCCCTGTGCCCACCCCGGCTATTGCTCCTTCCAGATCTGTCTGACCCTGTTTTGCATGCCTGGTGCCCAGAACTGTGGTTCTCAGTGTGACTCTGGTCTGCGTTAGAAATTAGGAGGACTGCTGGCCTGAGGCTGGGGCTTATAAGGGCAGAAAAAAAGAGAAAAGAGAGAAATTAGCAGGACTGTGTATACCAGGAGCACCAGGAGGACTGGCCAAGGACTTGGAGGCGTTTCTAGAAAGAAGCTGTACAAACTGGGGCAGGAGAGGGCGAGGGGAGGGGCAGAAAAGGCCTCTGCTCAGGGATGGAAGTAAAGGCCAGGCTGCCAGCCTCTCTCTGAGGTCGCTCTCAGCTCTTGTGTTTAATCTGGGCTGATGCACACATGTATGTATGCATGTATGTGCGTGCGCGTGCATGCACACCCACGGCTGCAAATCAGCCATCGCTGCTGTGAGGGTGGGTAGTGGTGTGTGTTTGGCTTCCAGAAACATCACAGTGGTAGACAGTCTGTCTATTCTGTCCTTGTCCTCCTTGTCCTCTTCTTTCTTCATCCTCGCCCACCTCCTGCCCTGCTCCCTCTCATTTCTCTCTAACTCCCATTTCTTCCTTTGTTCTTCTCCTATTTTAATAGCTCTCCCTGTGTTCTCACAGTGTGTGGCCTTAGGACCTCACCCCCATGGCCCTACTCCAGACCCCTGTGTTCAAGGCCCTGCAGGGTCGCTTGATTATGACTCCTCTTTGCTAGTAGTTCCTTCTCCCGGGCCAGCTTGAAGTGTCCTAACTCTGACCCAACTGGCAAGGTTGCCCCAGCCCCAGTGTTCCCAGTACAGTCACCAAGGAAATCCCTGTGATACCTGCAGTTCTTTACACACGTGAGCCACATCCACTGCAGGCCCCCCCTCATTCCCACCAGCTTCTGCTGTGCCTGTGTCCGTGTCAGTTCTGAAAACCGTCACGGTTTTCTCCGGTTGCGCAGGGTAGGTATCTCAAATTAACAAAATCCTCTTCAGATCCAGGTCAGCTGGTCCCACAGTCGGAGCCGGGGGCACCAGGGCCCTGCAGGAACATGCACAGGGGATACGTCTTCCATCGTGGCCCCTGATACCCAGGTGTGAGCACACCCTCCTCATGGTTTATTTCTACACAAGTGCCAGGTACTAAGTAAATTCGGCATCCTCCTGGCTCTCCTGCTAGACAGAGCCCTGCAGGGGCATCAGGAGTGCTGGGATTCCCTCCCAGCTTTGCCAGTAACCTGGAGTCTGACTTGGGGGTGTCATCTCCTTACTCTGGGTATCCTGGCTTCCACATCTGTGTGCCGATGGGGCCTCTTAGGCACCCGCAAATTAGTGTCATGCTCCCCAAGCTACCTCTGCCTATCATTACCAGCTGCTGCTCAGAGAAGGGGTTGGCTCCAAGGGGGACCTCAGTAAGAGACAAGGAGGTGTCCTTTCCCACTTCCCTCACTTCATGGCACCAGCCTTCTCTTCCCTAGATGAGAGGGTCCTTCCCTTGTGGCCTCACAAATCGCCTAGAATTGCCTGAAAAGTAAGGCCAAGGCCTGGCTCACACTGTTTTGCCCTAATTCTCGCGGCCCCTCCGTTTACCTGGGCTACAGTGAAAGAGCCGCGTCTGGCCCAGAAGGGACTGTGTGGCTTTGGGCAGGTTGTTTCCCTTCCCTGGGCCTCTTGTTGGCAGAATGAGGAGGTTGGCCACCGTGGTCGCCAAGTGCAGGGCCCCTGGGGTCCCCGAGGACGCCCCGGCACAGTCTTCGGGAGCCCAGCACTCTGGTCACAGCTCTGCACTAACCCAGCATGTGATTTCTTTCCAGTCCTTTCCCACTTTGGACCCTCAGTTTCTCATCTGTGACCGACAGTTGAGGGCCCTTAAACTTCTGCAAATAAGGACCCTGTGCGTCCTGACTGTGTCCCTAACTGGCCTGGATCTTTTCCAAACCCACACCCGAGACCCTGCGAGCCTCCGAGCATTTTCTTAGGCTCCGGTTACTTCCTGGGAGCTCTAGGGAAGAGCCTTTGCCCTTGTGTTTGGTGCTTCATTTTCCCACGCAAACCTTCAGCTCCCTCTGCCCGGGGGCCTGGGTTCCTGTCCTGATGAGCTTTTAATGACAAGAGGTTGTCAGTTCCTCAGGAAAGTGTTCTCTTCACTCTGGGCCCTTTCCCCCCTGCTGCCCCCCTCCTAGCTCAGGTTCCCTCTTGTTTCAACCCAGTGAGCACAGCTCCTGGCTGCATCACCATAGCAACCGGAAGCTAGGGCCAATTAAACCATGGCTGAGTCATTAGACACCTAAGCTGGTGATAGAGTCCAGAATACTGGATGGAGGGGAGAGGCTGGCAGGAAGGGAAACGAGCAGGTCTTAGGTGAAGAGAAGTGGGCGGCTGAGGGGCCGGGGGCTGCAAACCATCGCTCCCCTCGAGTCAGCGGGCCCCCGTGAACACCCCGTGAACCCCTGGGCAGCTGCCTTCAGCCAGCAGGCCTGAGGGAGGGCCGACCAGGCCCCTTCCCCCATCGGGAAAGCAATTCTTCACACCCCGCTGCCAGTGCCCCAACTCAGGAATCTCACCCTGGATTTTTCCATTAAACTCAGAGTAACAGGGAGCGTCCACGACTGACTCCACCCTGTGGTCTAACTCGTGGCTCTCCCTGTCCTTCAAGCACGCTGTGGCAATTTGGCTGGTGAAGAAAGACTTTTCTATTGGGACGACATGGATGGAACTCGAGGGAACCAGGCTGAGGGGAATGTCGGAAGGTTAAACACAAACACCGTGTTAGTTCACTCATCTGTGGAAGATAGAGAAACAAAACAAAGGAACCGTTGGAGTCTGACAAGAGACCTGAGGCTACCGGAGGAGCAGGGACTGGGGGTGGGAGCAAAGGGTCGAGGGGCTGATGGACTGTGGTGGACGGTCATGGTCCTCTTGTGGCGGGCGTGGTGTGGGGCCAGACATTTGAAGAAGAGTGAGCGTGTCCCTCTGAAACAGAGACAGCAAAACAGTGTGACATCGTGGACCAGTGTTGCCTTAATAGAAAACAAAAGGAAGACTGAAAACATAAATGGCTTTTTTCCCCCTGGCTTGAAGCCCTCTTCCCCAGTCAAGGCCCCTGCTGCCCTGGCTTCCTTTCTTGGGTTTTTAATCACAAAAGGCCATCAATTCGTGTAATTCGGGTATTCAAGTTACACTTCTTCTCCCCTCCCCAGAAGACTGGCCTTCCACCTTTCCAGCTCCCTTTTTCTTTCAGTTAGTGAGGCAAGCTCTTGGCAGGGTTGCCATGGCAACCAAACTACCAGGCTGATTAGGCCATTGAGGATCTGCACACTGACACTCTGAGCTGATTATGGATCTGGAAGCTTGGATGACGGAGCCGGACTGCTGGAAGGAAGACAAAGAGCCCCTTAGCTGGTGAGGAGGGGCAGGTGAGCTCCTCAGGGCATCAGCCAACCTTCTGTGCCTCAATTCATCTTTAGCCCCTGTGTTCTTCAGGGAAGGAGAAGGGAGAGGCAGGAGGGAGAGGAGACTGGCCCTATTCACGATGCAAGTCTGAGTTTGGACATAAGCACCTACGCCCTTAGGCTCACCCCTGCCATGTCCCCAACCCACACCTGCGGATGCCTTCCCCATCGGGTATCCTTCCTTCCTGACAAGTTACCTGGCACATAGATGCTCTTAGCACTGGCTGCCCAGCAGTCCCACTGGACAGAGCGCTACAAGACAGAGCACACTGAGAACACCTTGGAATGGAAACAAGTCCAGACTTCCTAACCCGGTGGATTTTTCTGGACAATGCCTCTAGTGAAGCGCCTATGCCTTCTGACTTAAGGCGCCCTTTTCACTGTCTGCATCCTCTGCCTTCTGGTGGTGGGGGTGGTACTGCCTGAGGGTGGGAGACAGCAAGGGTTGCATGAGGCTGTGAATCACCAAAGGCCCTGAGAGTGGTAGGTTTTTCTCACCTGCAAGGCTTTCCTCCTCCTCCTCTTGATCCCCCTCTACATTCCCAGGCTTCCACTCACTTGCCCTGAGGGGGCAGAGCTCCTGTCCACATCCCCATAGTAACCAGAGGAGGGTGGGCACTCATTTGACTCCCAAGCTTATGAGCATAGTGTCTTTTGGAGAGGGCTTGACTTTGGGAAGGAACCATCATTAACGGTCAGCGGGAGAGAAGCAGGCTGGGAGGCTCTTCGTGGTCCAGCACACTCCCACCTCATTCCTCACCCCCGTGCCTCCAGGCGAGGGGATAGTCAGAACTGACTGCTCCCTGTGGGCACCAGGGCCTGTGTCTGGACCAGACTGCGTGTGCTTTGCCCTGGCCCCTACCAGGGCAGCACTACCAGGCTCTGGATACCCCAGAATCCCACCTTGTTACCAAACAGGCACCCTTGAGTGAACAGATGTGCTGTCCCAGGACTGCGCCTCTGGTGCTTAGAACAGTGTAAGAAACTTGTGGCCCAGTTCTGTTTTGCTCTCTCCTAAGTACGACCTAGAGACCACAATGGTAGCAGTTTTCTGTCCCTCCTTTATTTCAATTATACATTCCTTTGTCCAGCCATTATCCCTTTATCAATTTATGTTATAATTTGGATGCATTTTATTTCTTTATTTTAGGCATTTTTATCATGTGTCTTAATTAACCAAAGATGCAGTGGCAATGCACATGGATTGTAATTATCATGGAGAATCCACATATCAAACAACATTCAGTGGGTTCTAACTATACTTTCTAATACCCCTGTCCCCCTCCTTGTTACCAACAGGCACCCTTGAGTGAACATATGTGCTGTCCCAGGACTGGGCCTCTGGTGCTTAGGACAGTGTCGGAATCACAGTAAGGCCCCTTGATGCAAACTCCTATACTTTCCCGGTCCACTCCTTCCATGTTAGATCTTGCAATTCACATCACATCTCTCCTTACACCTCCATCTATGCGAACAGCCAAATTTGGGTCAATGGTTCTGAGAACATGGAAGGAAGCCCTTACAGAACTTCCCTCCTAGCCACAGTTGAAACTAGATACTCTGCCTTCCATGTTGTCATTATGGATAACTGTCTACACCCCTATCAAAATCCAGGCCTGGAGCTGGGCACTACCTTCATCTCTGCTTGATGAACTCGATGAGTCAGTGTTGCCTGAGGAATGCTCCTCGAGTTCTCCACCACATCACTGATTCTGCCTTCTTTGCTGGATGAGTCCCATTCAACTGTTCTACAAAGTCTCACAGTTTAAGAATAGAACAAGAAGCAAACAAACAAAACTGAACTGCACAATCCCTCCAACTATACCAACCAACCACATTATATAGTTGTGCTCAGAAACCCAAAGGCTGAACCACGAAGTGGCTTCCACAAAGGAAGCATTTTGTTAGCAAGTGGTGCCATGTCAGGAGGACAGCAGAGTCAGTCCTCAGAAAAGGCTGCCTTCCCCAGTGGCAAGTGAAGAAAGATTGTATAGGGAAGAAAGGAATGCGGAGACATGCAAGAGTGGGGAGGGCTTCTACACGCTCAAGTCTGGGGGTACCGGGTCTAGGGATAGTCAATCACAGTACTATTTTTTTAAAAGATTTATTATGTATACAAGAGCTGGGGTACAGGCCAGAGACGTGGGGTAGGGGGTGAGAGTATTCACCAGAGACAGAGTAGGGGAACAGAGCAGGCAGGTCAATCACAATACTATTGATAGTATTTCTGTAGTAGTTGCTCTCTTCTCTGTTATTAGAAGGACACTTGGTTGTTTGTCCCACTATAGAGAGCTGTGTGGAGATTCCTCAACCTACTAAACGTAGAGCTTCCATATGATCCAGCAATTCCACTCCTAGGTATTTACCCAAAGGACACAGAAACATCAATTCCAAAGAGCACCTGCACCCCTATGTTTATAGCAGCACTATTTACAATAGCTAAGCTTTGGAAACAACCCAAATGCCCAAAAATAGATGACTGGATCAAGAAGATGTGGTACACATACCCCATGGAATATTACTCGGCCTTCAAAAAAGATAAACACATGCAATTTGCAGCAACATGGATGGCGCTGGAAGGGATCATGCTCAGTGAAATAAGCCAGAAAGAAAAAGAAAAATACCGGATGGTCTCACTCATAGCAGGAATCTAGAAAACCTAAATAAGGGACCAGGAAAAAGAATAACTATAAGAAAGAAAAAATCAAAATCAACAAACAACTATGAACCAGAGACACACTATGGGGGGGGCAGGGAAAGGAGGGATTGGGATCAAAACAAGGGGTTGCAATTGTATGGGGAATATAAAAATAAAATTTAAAATAAAAGGATTAGGTTTTATAATGAAAAAAAAAAAAGGAGAAGGACACTTGGTTGTTTGTCAAGCACTGATATAATTAGCATCCTGAAAAGGAACAGAAACTTTTTGCTAAGCACTGGGCACAGCCCTGAGGAATGCAACACACTGGCTTCTAAGGCAGGGGTCATGTCCTTATTTTTGATACAGGCCGGATCACACATCTACTGCATCATCTTCTCTCTACTTCCTTGTTACAACAAAGTTCCTCAAAACTCATTGTTTTTCAGACCTCCATTTTTTGATTTCCATTTTCACTTGAATGTACCCCACTAGCCCAATCAAGCTTTCGTTACCACTCTCCAGTGAAATTGCTCTTCACCAGGACCTGCACATTGCTAAATTTGGCCATTTCAATGCTTGTCTTACTTGATTAATTAGTAGCCTTTGGCACAGTTGATCACTTCCTCCTGTTGCAATACTTGCATCACTTTACAGGACATTTTTGTCTCTTGGCCTTCCTTCTGCTGCAGGGTCTGCTATTTTCCAGTGTTCTGGCTAGTTGCTCTCTGTACTGGAGTACTCTGAGTTTCAACACTTAGATTTATTTTCTTCCCTATTTATGCTCACTCCCCACAGAATCATGCATAGTTCCATCATTTTGATCATATCCACACATAGGAATGTCACACATTAATGTTTCAAGTCCAGTCTTCTCCCTAAACTCCAGGTTCATATATTCAATTGCTTACTCAACATAACCAACTGGATAGCTAATGCGTATCTCCATTTCAAATTCATCATATACTGAACTAGGTCACTTATTCTACCTCTCATCAAAGCTACTCCTATTATTTTCCCAATCTTACGACTTTTTAACACTCACCCACCAATTTGGTGATTTAAATTCTACTAGATAATTATTTCTCTAATTTATCTGGCTTTTAAAATTCTTTTGCATAACTACTTCTCTTTATTTTCTTAGTTTCTTCTCTATTGCGGCATAAAAAACATACAAAACACTCAAGCAGTACCTGGATGTTCCTAACCAAAACAAAAAAAGTATAGGATGTAAAGCAGTTTCAAGGAATTAGGAATTAAAATTTCAAATTTTAATTTGAGAACCAAGTTGACATGACCCATTTACCTCAACTCTCTGAACTGTGATGACCTTTTGGATTCACAAGTTCAGGTCTCAAAATCATAGGACCTCCACACTCCCAGTGTTGCAGCTCCCTCTAAAGAATTGGCAAGGTGCACCCACAGAAAGTATTGCCTTTTACCCAAACTCTATGTAATTTTGAGTTTTTTCTTTGGTTGCTGAGGCATCTGCTCAGGGTCTGTTGAATATAGTCAACATTCACCTTGAAGGAGAAGACTGCCTCAGTAAGTTATTCTCCCATTTTTCTCCAGCAGGGATAGCTACCCCTTCAGTTTTTCTTCGCGATACCTCCCAATGGAAGTGTGGGTATTTCAAAAAAGAGATCAAATTGGGAGGGGTATGCTACTCTCAAGACCAGATTATTGGAAAAATGGACTCTGATATTCAGGATAACATCTTTAGCCAATGGCATTTTGACCTTTTTTAAAAAAGATTTATTTATTTATGCATACAAGAACTGGGGTGTAGGCCAGAGGTGGGGGGTGGGTTGAGAGGATTCACCAGAGAGAGAGTGGGGAGCAGAACAGACAGATTGACTGAAACACACTGCTGAGGGGAGCAGCGGGTGAGACAGGAGAGGTCTGCTGTGCCATGTGGTTAGCTCCCTGGCTGGGGATCAAATTCATGCAGCAGTGGCTGGTGATAGCTTGATAGCACTGAGATTTTAACCCCTGCACCACTGGGAGGCCCGGACTTTTGACTTTTAATCCAAGTGAACATGACCAATTTGCCTCAACTCTCCAAACTATAATGACCCGTTTGGATCCACAAGTTCAGGTCTCAAAGTGCTTTGAGATCTAATGATCCCAGCCCACCTCCAGTTCTTGTTTTGACATCTAAGACCTTGAATCCAGTTCACCTGAACCACTGAACAGTGAAGTACTTTAATATTCCCAAGACATAGTCTTATCAATCTTTCCTACTTCCTTAGTCAAGTACTTTGAGTTTCCTATCCTAGGACTAGGCTGCTTCTGTCCCTTGATATGTAGAATGTTTTGAAATTCATAGCCCAGTACTGAGTGTAGCATCTGCACTGAACATGTGACTCTCCTAGGAATAAGAAACTTGAGACTATACTGGACCCACTCCTAATTGCCATAGTGCGATGAGGATCCGACAAGCCGCAAACAGCACAGAGCAGAGTCCAAGTGTATAAATTACGTTGAGATTCAAAGTGCATCCCCTGGGCCTCCCCGGTGGCGCAGCGGTTGAGCACTGGGTTGCAAAGCTGCCCGCGGCCTCTGTGGCGCCGGTTCGATCCCTGGCTGCTCCCCGGCCTCCGGAGGAGGGTCCCACATGGCGCGCAGACCTCTCCTGCCGCCCGCTGCTCCCCTCAGCAGTGTACTTCGGTCCTTCTGCCTGCTCTGCTCCCCGCTCTGGCTCTGGTGAATTCTCTCACCCTCCCGCGCTTCTGACTGTACCCAGTGCATGTATAAACAAAAACAAACAAATAAATGAATAAATAAATAAAACATGCCTCTATTTAAATAAATAAATAAATAAATAAATTTAACAAAGTGCATCCCCTATTCTATCATTGGTTTACCTACCTGCCACCCAGTCTGTCCAAACCTCTCTTCAGATGACTATCCTAATGCCCTTGGCTCAGAGCCTAATTCATTATTAAGCTAAGAACAACTTTTTTTGGTGTATTTATCCTGTGAGGTCAAATCTTCAATTTATCAATATGTTGGTTTGTAAGTATGTTCATTTTACATTGTCTTTATTAAATAACATTATCACATAAAATTCTCTGTGTCCTCAGATCCATTTATTTGTAGTAACTTCTCACAGAAACCTTATTAGTTCGTTTTATAGTGTGTATCTTTTTTAATTAAAACCATTTTCTTTTTTTAAGATTTATTTATGCATACAAGAACTGGGGTACAGGCCAGAGGGTTGGGGGGTGAGAGGATTCACCAGAAACAGAGTGGGGAACAGAATAGGCAGACTGAAAAACACTGCTGAGGGGAGCAGAGAGCGAGTCAGGTGAGGTCTGCTGCACCATGTGGGTAGCTCCCTGGCCAGGGATCAAACTCGTGCTGCAGTGGCTGCGGACAGCTTCATAGGTTGCATCTTAACCCCCTGCGCCACTAGGGCATCCCTAGTGTTTATATTTTTTTAAAGCTTTATTTATTTATGCATACAAGAACTGGAACTGGGGTACAGGCCAGAGGTAGGTGGGGAGAGGATTCAACAGAGACAGAGTGGGGAGCAGAACAGGAGGATCTACTGAAATACACTGCTGAGAGGAGCAGCGGGCGAGACAGGGAAGGGCTGCTGCGCCATGTGGGTCACCTCCCTGGCTGGGGATAGAACTCCTGCTTGTGCTTCATTAGCTGTGGATAGCTTCATAGTGCTGACGCTTAACTCCTTGCGCCACCAGGGAGCCCCTAGTGTCCTAGTGTGTGTATTTTTGGGAGTCTCTTTATATTACCTTCCAGCTGCTGTCATTAACTGCTTCAACAGGAACTAAATGTTGTTTTCGACAGTTTTGTGACTTAGGCAGACTTGGCATGTGTTCCTCCAGTATTCATTCTCTCCACACCAAGCAGAGAGAAAATACAATTACTGAGTGTTATTAATAGTGGTGGGAGGGCCTCCCCTGGTGGCCAGGGG